CTCTTTCCATGGGACCCCCTCTCACTCACCAGGACTGGTGGTGCTCTGCAGACTTCCTCTCTTGTGAAATGAAGATATAGGTTTAGGCTTCCCTTGTCCATCGGTGGTGGAAGAGGATGATGACATCTTTCTTCCCGTGCTCCTGTTACTACCGGAGCAGAGCAAGCCAGAGTTGCGCAGTGGCCAGCAGAGGGAGCGAGGAAAACTCACCCTAAAGCTAGAACTCTGTCTCACAATGAGGTAGTGAGGCAGCAGGGCCCATACTGGGCTGGGAGGAGCTGCTCTGCAGAGTTGGCTCCTCCTCCTCCCAGCCAGCAGCAGGTCAGAAGGCATGCTGCACAGCGACGAGCTGAATGGGAGCCCAAGGCTTCCCCGGGTTCTGGTGGGGGCCATTTTCCTTGGTTGCCATGGCAACCAAGGAATTAGTTTCCTGTAGCCAATGCGGGGAAAAACAGCCACAGAGGAGGACATTGCAGATCAGTGTGTAGCCAGCATGACAGCCAGCAAGCCTGGAGGACGACTACAGCCTGCCAGCTGAGCACCAAAGTCAGCGAAGGACAAAAGTTTCTCTACTATCTAAAAATAGCAATTAGATACATCAGATATCATGAGAAGGCGTGTTCAGCCAAGAGGAAAAACACAGAGGATCCAGATGAACAGCAAGTGACAAAAAAAGGCATAGAACACTGAGTGGTCAGTGCGTATAAGCAGAGAAACCATCTTAGTGTGTAAGTTGACTAATGAACTCCCAAACTCCTTTGCTGGAAAATTCTAAGGGGAGACAGAAAGCATAAACACACTCAGCACAGGCCCACCTGTCATCAAGTATTATAAAGAGTGACAACCAATGCCCAGCACATTAAAGCACATTAAGCTTGGAAGCACAGGCTTCCAAAAGTTAGAAGAGCCTGCTCAAGTCAAACAAATATAGATAATTGTAATAATTTACTCCACTGACATCACAAAATTGTAAAATTAGATTCTTTCAAAGCCCCGTATACCACAAAGTTGCAGTATTAATTTGACTTTTCAAAATAATAGCCTCCTCTTCGAATCCCTGGCTATACATCAAATATAACCAATGTGTCAGATCAACAGATGATGGAAGACACCAGCAGATGAACACTGGCCTTACAGAATATGCTGGACCTTTTGGATTCAATCACTAACCACAGTCAACAGAGCAAGAGTGGCATAACAAAACAGTAAAGATCTCCATCTAGTGGTGTAAAAACAGAAACATGTTTGTCACCTCTGAGCATCGGATTGCTGTTCACCAAATCTAAATTCTAAATAAATAACAGACTCTAAAAACCTACATTTTCAATTTAGAGGGATTCACTGTGCTTTGAATGCTGATAATGTCATGCCTCAAGATTAGTTTTACTTTTTGCATAATATGCAACAACACAGAGCACAGTTACAAGGAACAACACATATACTGCAGCTACTGTCCACAACTCTCTGGCACTAAAGACTTACTCACGATCCAACAATTCATTCATCCATTTCCTCAACAATCTCCTCTAGCAGGAATATAACTGAACTGATGTTGCAATTAAAAATGTAAACTGGCCTCTAGGTTTACAGTATAAACTGAATACTCAATTTTTCAAAGTAATTTAAAATATTAACACACTGTTCATAGATAGCAGATATCTATATGTGCCTAATCAATCTGAGCCCAAACTTAAAACACTCAGACCGATCACACTGATCTTTACAACTCACCTAATTGTTTTCAGGCTAATTTCACAGTAATTCTAACAACATGTGCAACAATCAAACAACACCTTTAAAACATAAAAGCAGCCAAAGTGAAAGAAGTCAAGACTTGTGTTTGCCAAGTAAAAGCAGCTCATTTCAGAGTGTCTCCAGCCTGACCCAGTTTCTCAGAGGCGAAACTCCCCATCTGCTGCAACAGCAAAGGCTTCAACAACAGCAACCAAAAAAAAACCCCAGGCCTACTTACCCTACCCACTCACACATTTTGCTAAAACCAAATTACTCACATTCTCAGTGGCCTTACCTGAAAATAGAAGGCAGCTATGTCACCCTGACAGCTGTAGTCACTCCTTCGTTGGTGTTCCTCTGTCTCTGCTGTCTGGTCAGGCTTTTTGTCTGTACACCCTTTTACTAAAATGAGACCACTGTGCCTGTCATTGGCTGCTTGGGGGACTCTTTTCCCTGTCACTCCTACAGAGCTCATGGAATTCAGCATTTTGTTGT